TAGTAAAGCGATTTGCCAGAGAACTTCTCCTAAATCCAATAAGTTTCACAAATAAATTTCAAAATTAAATAAAACAATAAATATTAAATTAACGAAAAAAAGACCCATAAATAATGCGTAAAAAATTTTCTCCACTGATTTGTCTATAACAGATGTTCAAATTCCTTCGCAGATGGCCTCATCGATCGTATTTTGATTAATTTCAATTTAAAAAAAATTAAGGAAGAAATGAACCGTACAAGAAAAATTATGTGCAAAGAAAAAATTTCTAACAAATAATTTGAGCAAAATTTTTTAAATTTTATAATAAAAGTTTTGATGTAAGGAACAAGTGATGTAGTTGCCCGTATTACATAGATTATCATTTCAAGCAACATGATTCGGTACAAACTCTTTGGCAGAAGTGTCTATCATTAAAAAATCCAGGTGGTACTGGCAATCTACTTGTATATCGCCAAGTGATAAAATCGCCTAATAGCAAACAGAATTAGGGCAGGCAGAAATAGTGAATACTTACCGCTTGTCTATTTATTTATTTACTATTTATTAAATTTTGATAATTTACTCTTGAAATCTGGAAACTTCGACTTATTTAAGCCTATTAAATTAAATTTATTAAATTTATACGATAAGATCGATGAAATTTTAAAAATTGGTTAAAAAATTCGTATATTAAATTGACGATAAATTAAAGAACATCTGTTTGTGAAAACAATTGATTTTATTGTAAAGTAAAATAAATGAAATCAGTAATCTGGCAAGAGACAATAGTATTTTCAAGTTAAAGAAATGTTTAAAGAAATGAGGAAAGAGAATTTTAGGAATACAACAATTAGGTCGATCATTTCTCGAGAAAGCTGATAAGATCCATCACAAATATGTGTTCGTTCTTGCCACTTTTCCTGAAATGCTTTAATTTTTACTTTTTATCATAAAAAAATTCATTAGAAAATTTCAGCCTAAAGAATAAATGGACATGTATTACTGTAATTTCCTTGTGGATAAAGGTTCCTAAATTCGCTTTAGGCACAAAAACTCGTTCAAATCTATGTCGTATCAACGATCGCATAAATTTCGTTAGAATTTTGGGTAAAAGGAAATCTTATTATAATCGAAAACACAGTGATGATAAGTTTACAGTTCTGAAAATAACAGTAGAAAATGTCTTTAGCATATTTCATTTTTCTGATTTCACTAAGTCGTCCGAAAGAAGTTTTAAAGATGTTGCTTGGCTATGAATTATTGAATGTAATTACACAGTAAACTTAAATGCTGGCTTATATATGTCGCATCAAAATTCCTTGTCAAAATCTGAAAATACCTGATATTTTATCATTTTCCTCAATAAATTAGTAATAAGATAGATGATCAAGTGGTATCTATAGTTCGAGCCAAATGAGAGTAAATCTATCTTTGAGAACGTAACCCGTGTGGTGGAAGGGGAAATTCAGCTAATTTTTCCCAAACGATTTTTTTGCAAGAAAATCTTATCCTAAAAACTACTAAAGCCAGTTAAATCAATAATGGTATTGGAAGAAGAACAAATCAGTGTAGAAAGAATCTTTCAGTTATATTTACTGGATTGTTTTTGATAAGTCTGAATCGATGTTTTTAAAAGAACGTCTTAAAATTGAATAATTGGATTATAAGAATTTTCTGGAATAAAGAATCTGGAAAAAGAAGGAAATTGATGTTTGAATACTAAAAAATTTATTGGCCACAAGCGTCATCGAAATCAGTTTGGAATATTCTCGATGAACACGAAAATCCAACCAAATTTTATTGGTGACTTGACATCCTTTCAGGCTAAATGTTTCGTTTAACAAAGATAAAGAGCCAGTAGTGGTGCTGAGCTTAAATAAACGTTGAAAGTAATTCGCTGCAAAAATATCTTGGACGATGATTTAAATAAAAACATCGCTTTTTAAGTATTTTATAGATATTTAAGGTTGAGAAATGGAAATATTACAAAGTTTACTTTATTATTATCGAATGCAGTTTTGTGAAAAAAAGTGCAAAAATTTTATAGATATTGAAGGTAATTTTTTGAATGAATTATACAAAATGGTACTTGAAATAATCCTTCACGGATTCATTTTCATCTTTCATAAATAATTCTGTCAAATGAAGCGAGTCCGAATACTAATTCATTTTTATTTTTATAACTCAGATAACTCGCTGGCAAGAATAGCGTGGCTCTGGTGAAGTCAGCAAAACTAGGAATGAAAAGCGATGTTGGAAATTTTGAAGACTCCTTCTACTAATGAATCTTTAGTTAATTTTAGAATCTTCTGGTGAATATTTTTTGCAACATTTATAATCATTTTTATTCCACTAGTTCTATATATTGCTAAGTATAATCAACCAATATTTATCAATTTTACTCTTCTCCTAACAGCATAGACTCCTCACCATTCCCACTTTAACTAGACACCAATTATTAGGATAAGATCCTTTTGCCAGAATGGGTTTCATTTTTAATGGTGTATTCACGATTCCACGCAGATTTTATTTCATTTAACTAGTTAAATATTGTTGATATCATGGTGACAGGATGGCTTAGTGGGTTATTGCTCAATTAGGAGCGCCGATACTAAGGTTCTATTCCCCAAAGGAGTAAACCTGTCCAAAATTGCGGGTGATACTGGCGATTCACCTGTAATTACATCGTCAAGGGAATCTCTCGCATATTTGTCCAATGCGACAAGCCAGCGGGGAGAGTATTGCCCAGTAATGGTGAAAAATCTTTAAAAAAAAGACAAATATTGTTACTGTCTCGACCTATTTGTTTATTCTCATTATTAATTTAAGGTATATCTGTACCAAGCGACTGCCTGGCAAAGTTTGCCTGGTCCGATAAATTAGCCTAACAGCGATGGTGAGGGCCTTCAGAAAAAAAAATTTACGACAGGCACATAGAATTGTATTCAAATTTTCGCCTCCTTTTTGCTGAACGTTTATAGCTTTCTAAACTTGGATTTAGGCCGCAATATGGCTCTGCTGATCACTTTCATGCGGATAAGAGTGTTGAAGTATTGTTTCAAGTATCGGCAACTTAACTGTTAACTGCATTATCAACTTTGCCACTGCCTTTGATTGCATCAACAGGTCGGCGCTTAGGAAAGCCACGATATGTTCCAGAGAAGTTAATCGAAATTATCAAAGCATTTCATCGGCGTCAGATGTGTGGGAAATTGATATAGCCTTCTGAAATACATAAGGTGTATATCAAAGGTGCACTTCCAACTGTACAATAGATTAGATTATCGACACTAATGGCCACTATTCAAGAAGAACAAAAAAAGAGCGTATAGCGTTCAAAGATCGAAGAAATATCAAACTACAAATATGCCATTCATATTTGATGGGCAGACGAAAGGAAAAATTCCAGCTAGGATGGTTTCAACCAGAGGTGCATTCTTTCATCTGGTCAAATCTCTCTGGGATCGCTCCGACTTGAAAATGAAAGTTAGCATCTAAAAATAAAAATATTCCAGCGCTTAGGTGAAATCGATTGTGATATGGAAGAAGAATAACCGAGCACTTACAAATTAAACAGATCAGCTGATTTAAAAATGAACTTTTTCAAAAACTTTATTTCGTTCTTTCATTTTTCATATCTCCTTATTTATGTAATTTTCTGGATGAAATGAGCCATAAGACAAAAGATTTCACCGCCGCTTCTAAATATTAAATGGCTTAGTGGCGAGACAATCGCCGAGAACCGAGGCTTGGGTTCGAATCGCCGACGCACCATTCTTGAGGCTGCATAACGGGAAAAAGCAAAAAAAATGCACAGATAGGTCATCTCTCGGTTTGCAGGGTCGATGCTGAAGTTCTGCTTCCGGCAGCAGTGAACCTCTCCAAAAATCCGGTGGTGCTGGCGACTCATCTGTACTCCTATCACCAAGCGACTCCCTGGCATATTTGCTTCGTGCCACAAGCCAGCCAGCGGGAAGAGTCTAAACATTAATCTCTTTAAAAAAATATGTTAAAGCGTGCAAGTGTGCTAGGGAAATTATTTAACTTTTTATTTTATTTTCAATCCAACTGGCAAAAACATGCGCGGACGATACTTTTCAGCGCAGCGACGTTTGTAAAAATAATAAGGCGACGAATTAGGAAAGCGAGGGAGGGAGGAAAAAAAGAACGACTTAAGATTCGCTAAAACAGATTCGCTGCCTCCCAGATAACCGAAATGACACACTTCATGTTAGTCGCGTTTTAACGGAAGATAACATGCACATGCGAAAGCATCGGGCAGGGGGCTGAACTTTCTAATGGGCCGAACATGACCAAAACTTCGGTTTAGGTTTCTTGCGGTCCGTCTTTGGCACAAGTTTGGTATTCCCTATGTGTTTGTCCTTGGTTTTTTCTTAAATATAAAATTTACATATAAAATTTTCATAAATATAAAATTTTGTGCATAAGCATAAATTAAATTTTGCAATTAAAGATAACTATTTTTATGTTTGAAATGTTTATTTTGCTCAAACATGCTCGGCAGTTTCGCTGATTCGCTGATAATTTAATTTAGAGATCAGAAGTAGTAAAAGTTGGTGATAAGGGTGATAAGAGTTAGAGTTCTCGGTAATTTTCATCTCTGAGCTCCAATTTTTATTGCAAACTTGAAAACTTTTGGAGTTTTTCGAGTAAATTACTAAATATGGAAAATGAAATGGATTTTCCTCCGTCTTTCATTTTTTCTTCATTTTTTGGTTTTTCTTTGCCATTTTCATTTTACTTACCATTTTATCAGTAATATTTAGCGATTTGATCATTTGGCCTTAGCCTTAACATTTCCTTATCATTTTTTCACTTATTGGTGTCCGCCAAAAAATTTTCTTGATTTAAATAGTTTTCGATATTCAACGTACATGGTCGTTTCCAGTCCTTAACGTTTAATTAATTTTAACGAAAATAAATAAAATAAAGTAAAAAATGGCAGAAGATACTTTTTTACTCTTTTTTTACAAATTCAGTCATGCTTTAGGCAAAAAATGACGACTGTAACAATTCCTGGGTCATTAGTAAACAAGCGGAAAAAACATTTTCTTGGAATGCCAGCACCAGCTGGTTATGTGGCTGGCGTAGGTCGTGGTGCAACTGGATTTACAACTCGTTCCGATATTGGACCGGCTAGAGATAGCACTGATTTACCCGAATTACCCCCTGCTGGTGCAGCAAAAAAACCTCGTGATGATGATGATGATAAAAAAGATGATACCGAAGATTTAAATGATGCGAATTATGATGAGGTTAATTTCAGTTTTCTTTTCATTTTCATTATCTAGGAGTGTTATTCAAATTTATTTTAAATTGTTTTATAATTATTATATTTGAATATTTTTGTTTGCTTCATTCTTATTGCCATTTTATTCTTTAATCTTTAATCCTTGGTATTTTATTTAAACATACACCTTAAATATATACCACTTGGCTAAATTTTTATTTTATATTTGAAAATGCATGTTTTATATGAAATCGGTAGCATTCGGTATTTTTGGCTAAACTTGCTTTCCACTGCATCACTTGACGATAGAAGTACAGTTTTTTACCACAGTTCGCATCTTTGAAAGCAGGTTTATTCTTGACAGGGCCCAAACATTTAAAACTTCTGAATATCTATCCACTTAACTGTCGCACTGTTTTACATATATTAATATGACATATTTATTTCATTTATTTATTTTATTTATTTATTTTATATTCAAATGTTTTTTCTTCATTTTATTTAGGAAAGGTTCGAATAATTTCATACGAAGTTATCTCAAACTTCTGATGAGTTATTTCGCCATCTTAGAAATTTTATTCCATTTTTAAATTTTTTTATAATTTTTATTATTTCAGTTTGAAGGATATGGTGGTAGCCTTTTTTCAAAAGATCCATATGAAAAAGATGATGAGGAGGCTGATGAAATTTACAAAGCAGTTGATCAACGAATTGATGAAAGGCGGAAAGAATATCGGTAAGTGTTGGAATAATATTTTAATTTTCTTTTCTTTTTCCATTTTATCAAAGGTATTTTTATATTTATATTGTTGAAACGGGTTTTTTATACCCTTATTCATTCTTTTATTTTTTTCATTTTTTTTCATTTGTATCCTTGTTTTAATATTTCTTAATTTTTTTCATACTTTTCATCTTAACTGTTTTATTTATAGCGAAAAAAAGTATAAAGAAGCGATTGAAAAATATAGAAAAGAGCGACCAAAAATCCAGCAAGAATTCTCAGATTTAAAGCGACAACTCTCTAGCGTTACTGAATCGGAATGGTCTGCGATTCCTGAAGTCGGTGATGCACGAAATAAGGCTAAACGTAATCCGCGAGCTGATAGGTCAATTTTAAAATTTTTTCTTTTCCTTTTTATTTAGCTATCGCTTTTTGATTAACCTTTTGAAATAATATTACTTCTTGAAAATTTTATTTATTAGATCCTGTCGAAATTTCAATTGTCATGTCATTTTTTATTTCTCTAATATTATTTCTAATTTTAGAATTACGCCTGTACCAGATTCAGTTTTGGCTTCAGCTATGGCATATGGGCATCTAAGCACTCATATCGATTCTCGTGTTCAGTCTGGTCTAGTGACTCCTTTGGGTGCTGGAATCACTTCAACTTTTAGTGGTATTAGCTCAACATTTGGAAGCTTTGGATCGGGATATCTGACATCACTGAGTGGCATTAAAACAAGTTTACTGGCACCTGGTTGGAAAACCGGAATTCAGTCGGGAAGTGGCTCATCAGCCGATCTTGATTTAAGAAAAATTGGACAGGCCAGAAATGCAATTATGGATATCAAATTAAATCAGGTTATTTTTCTTAATTTTTTTGCAACAAAATTGGGAAATTTCATTATTTCCATTTTCACGAAGCTATTGCTCAAGAATATGAAATTTAATTAATTTTCTTGAAGGTTTCGGATTCTGTCACGGGTCAAACAGTGGTCGATCCTAAAGGTTATCTTACTGATCTTCAGTCGATGATACCACAGTATGGTGGTGACATTAATGATATCAAAAAGGCTCGATTACTTTTGAAATCTGTACGGGAAACGAATCCTCGTCATCCTCCAGGTTTTCTCTATCTCTTATTTAAAATTCCCTATCATATTCACTGATTTCAAATTGAAGCCTTTAAAAAAATTAAAATTAAAAAAATTAAAACAACTGAAGATGGATCAATTTTTTTCACTAAATTTTTGAATTTTATTCGCAGATTAATTAATTAATTTTTGAATTAGCATGAATCTTTATTTATAATCCCAGAACATTACAGATTAAGCAATTAAATTTAGCCTGGATTGCGTCAGCTCGTTTGGAAGAGGTGGTTGGAAAATTACAAGTTGCTCGAAATCTTATTATGGAAGGGTGTGATCGTAATCCGAAGAGTGAAGATTTATGGCTCGAATCTGTTCGATTGCATCCTCCCGAGACTGCAAAATCTATTGGTTTGAATTTTAATATTCCAGTTTAAGCGAGAAATCACCGCATAAAATCATAAAAAGGTGAAATATTGATATCTTTTCAGTTGCATCTGCGGTCAGAGCTTTACCAAATTCCGTACGTATTTGGATGAAAGCTGCTGATATAGAGGAAGATACAAAAGGTAAAAGGAAAGTATATCGTAAAGCACTTGAACAAATACCTACTTCCGTTCGCCTTTGGAAAGCAGCTATTGAACTTGAAGAACCAGAAGATGCAAGAATATTACTGACTAGAGCTGTTGAATGTTGCAGGTTAATATTTCATTCCTGCCATTGTGTAGGAATATTTCATTCAGTTATATAAGTTGCATCAACTTTGCTAATGAATTCATATTTCAACTTTTTCTATTCAAAAAAGTTTGCTATCGATGAATTGGTCAAATATCTACATTAATAAAGGAATTTAAAGGAAATTGATTCAATTGTCTTCTAGATACCATTTGACCTTTCCTATTTCCCATTTTATGATTGATTTTTCAATGCCAATCTTAATACAATACATTTCAGTACATCTACCGAACTTTGGCTTGCACTTGCTCGTCTTGAAACATACGAAAATGCTAGAAAAGTACTAAATAAAGCCAGAGAGCATATACCAACTGATCGTCAAATTTGGATAAGTGCGGCTAGGCTGGAAGAAACGAGAGGTCAGAGTGAAATGGTGGACAGAATAATTGAAAGAGCCATAACTTCTCTTAAAGCAAATATGGTTGAAATTAATCGTGAACATTGGCTGAAAGACGCAGTTGATGCTGAAAAAGTGTGTTTCACTTTTTATTTTTTAAATTTTTGACTTTAACCTAAGTGTTAGATGATATATTTTTTTGATTGATTTCTGATCTGTTAAATTAATTTAATCTATTAATTTTCCCTACATATTGATTTCCTCTAGTTTTTAGGCTAACTGCAAATTGACTTCTCAAGCGATAATTTCGCATGTTTTGGGAGTTGGTGTTGAGGAAGAAGATCGAAAACATACTTGGTTGGAGGATGCTGAATCGGTATCTGTTCATTTTTCATCATTGAGGCTATAACTATAATTTTCCATTCTATATCAATTTTTTTCCATAAAATAAAAATTTACTTTATTTTTTTCAGTTTGTTGCTAGAGATGCATTCGAATGTGCAAGAGCTGTTTATGCACATGCCTTGCTTGTCTATCCCAATAAAAAGAGTATATGGTTTGCTGCAGCACATTTTGAACGTAACCATGGAACTATGTGTGTGGATTTTTTTTTTAAAGGCCATTCCCAGTTGGGCTCTGTTAGCTTGTCAGACAGGTTTTGCCAAGAAATCACTTGGAGATAGGTGGGGTGTTATCATCTGATATATGTTGACTGACAGTCTTTCAAATTTTTATTTAAATCATAGCGTCTCAAATATGGGTTTTGTTAAATTTTTTAAGCGAAATAAAATTAGCATCCTCAAAGTATCAAATTTATTTTGTGAATTTATTGAAATGCCTTCTTATTTTTCGCATTTATTTCATTATTTAATTAAATAAATTGTTTTGACACAAATCAATTATTTAATAATTTAATATTTAATTATTTAATCAATTCTGTAGTCAATATTTTTTATAGCGAAAGTTACGATCAGTTATTATCGAAAGCAGTCGAAAAATGCCCGAAAGCTGAAACGCTTTGGTTAATGTATGCTAAGAGTAAATGGATGGCAGGTGATGTAAGAGGATCAAGAGAGATTTTAGCAAGAGCCTTCCAGGTTTGTGAAATATATTTCTATTCATTACTTTTTTTGTTCAACAATAAATTGTCTCTTGTAATTTTTTAATTGGTATTATTTTTTATAATATAATATAATTTTTTTTTCGAATAATCCAAATTCTGAAGAAATATGGATGGCTGCTGTGAAGTTAGAATCAGAAAATAATGAATATCAGCGAGCTCGAAAGCTTTTAGAAAAAGCTCGTGAAATCGCTCCCTCACCACGTATTTTCATTAAATCAGTGAGGTAAAATTTTTCTATTTTTTAAAAATAAATCTAGCTAATAATGGTAAATCTGGCGAATCTAACTTTGCTATTTTATAAGCTGAACATTTGCAATGAAAAGAAAGAAAGAAAGCATTATGTACTATTTGCAGATTAGAATGGTGTCTAAGGGATTTAGAAGCAGCTAAAAAACTTCTCTTACGAGCTTTAGATGACTATTCGGATACTTCGAAACTTTATTTAATGATGGGTCAGATTTTATCACAGGAGAAGAATTTCGAAGAAGCTCGAAAATATTTCACTGAAGGAGTAAAAATTTTTTATCAGTATTAATGAAAATAAAAAATATTTTATATTTTAAAAATATTAAAAATATTAAAAATATTTTATCACTACTGACAGCATATCAGTCATGTTGAAATTGGAACTTAGATATTGAAATATTTTAAGGTAAAGCGATGTCCGTCGAATATCCCATTATGGATTTGGCTTACTCGTTTAGAGGAATCACTGGGTCATATAACTAAAGCACGATCTCATCTAGAAAAAGCACGTTTGAAAAATCCAAGAAATCCCGATCTATGGTTTTTATTGTTGAATTTTATTACATATGCGATTTATATCTTAGGATTGTTATAATATATGACATATTATTAATGACTAATTCATTTTATCCGTAATCTAGGTTAGAGTCAATTCGATTAGAAGCTCGAGCTGGTCTTGAAGAATTAGCGAAAGAAAGATTGGCTCGTGCGCTGCAGGAATGTGAACATTCAGGTGCCCCATTTTCCTTTCGTTTTTAAAATCTTTTTTTTTAAACTTTTTCTCCTTTACTTTTCTCTCAAAAATTTGTAATTTATGAAGAAATATTTATTCTTAGGAAAAATTTGGGCCGAAGCAATTTTCATGGAAGATCGTCATGCAAGGCGGACGAAATCAGTGGATGCATTAAAAAAATGCGAGCACAATGCGGATGTTCTTCTTGCAGTTGCAAAACTTTTTTGGACTGAACGAAAAATAAAAAAGGCTCGAGAATGGTTCCAACGCACTGTGAAAATAGATGCAGATTTTGGCGATGCTTGGGCCTATTTCTATAAATTTGAATTGTTACATGGATCCGAGGTCTTGTTTCAAATATCATTTTTCATTTATTTAAAAATAACCGAATAGTATAAGGTATATGCTTCTGTTAATCAATGTAATTGATATTGGCATAAATTATAAATTATATAACTGATAGTGCGAGTAAAAATCGAGTCTTTAATTATTTATTTTCCAATTAACAAAAGATATATAGCCATTAACATACGACGAAATTATCATAAATATTTTGCGAAGTTTCAACCAGAATAGACTTCGCATAGTTGTTTTCCATTAAATCATGGGTTTTCTTACAATATAGTAATGGATAACATATAAAGAATTTCAGGAAGAGCAGGAATTTGTGTTGAAAAAATGTATTCAGGCAGAACCTCGACATGGTGAACTTTGGCAGTCAGCATCGAAAGATGTTGAAAACTGGCGAAAACGACCTGAAGAGATTGTTAAACTACTTGCTGCCAAACTTGAAATTCCTCGATGATGTAATTATATTTTAGGGAATTTCTTGCCGAAAAAGTTACAGTTGAATATTTCGAAATAAATCGATGGATTTTGTATATAACTAAGCTATTAGTCAGTTGTACAGTTGTATCAATATTCCATTTTTTATTAACATGAGAAACTTGATGAAATAATATTTAATATTTTACAACTTTCACGGTGAGTACTTTCCTACTGATCTTCCTCTTCAGTGAAACCTAAATAATTTGATTGGTATTTGCAATACTTAAATGCTAAATCATGTGCAGTGCAGACCATTTCTTTTGTATTTATTCCTTATATTACTTTTATGTAAAAATTATTATAATAAAATTCAGATATCAAATTATAATATGTTTTGGTTTTTACATACCTAACCCGTAATTTTTGCAAATATATCAATAGATGGTTATAAAAGGAAACAATAGTGCAAAATATATTGTAGAATTTTGAAGAAAATAATGGTTGAAGGTAGTTTAAACGATGGTGAGTGTTGGTCTTTTGTGGCTATCTTGTCACGTAATTAGTAAAAATTAGAAAACAATGGTGAAAAAAAATGACAAGAGATGGTGGAATTGTAATTGAGGGGAAGTGAGTGAAGCAAGGAAAGAAAGAAGAATGGCATGTGGTGTGACATAACGAGCAAAGTCTTTAGGTTATAAATTCTGGTAAATTTTATTTATAGAATAAATATAAAATAAATTTTTATCAGTCAAAGGAAATCTTGTAAAAAAATCATTTTTCTGAAAGAATTGAGATTCAACTTAATTTTTCAATTGTTTTAAGCCTAAAAAGTCGAGAAATATGGCTTGGAGCAACTTATGTCGAAGGACTATTGGTTTGCCACTTTTCCCACTTATATATAATTTTTCTCCAGTTTCACATTTTCATTTCTGCTCTCGATTGCTTTGTGAAATGATCGCTGAAGAGGAAAAAATTCAAGAAGTAAAAGGATTCGCTTTCAATCACGTAGAAAAGAAGAAAGGATTATTTAAACCGAATCATACTATCGAAGAACAGATTAATTATATGCAAAGCAAAGGTCGGTTTCTTTTGCTTTCATCTCACTATTTTATAAAATGTATTTTGCATGGAAAAATGAGGGTTTTTAAAAATATTCGCGGTTTGATTTGAATTGAGGTTGAAATTGTATTTATTTTTTTTCCCCTATTCATGCCAATAACTTCTTCCATTTTTAGTTTACGAAGATGCATACAAAGGCCTTCCAGTATACATGTGGTATCGACGTAATGTTAAAGGACAACTGGTTCTTCAACCTCCACCGCGAATTATTTGTTTGGATAAGGAAGGCAAATTTAGAACAAACAATCCATGTCCGATCTGCAGAGATGAATATTTATTCTTTGATTTTCGAGTATGATTTATTCTGATTTATTCGTGCTCATTTTTAAAAATATTTTCAAAAATATTTAAAATATATAATATATATATATAATATTATATATAATTTAATATATTATATAATATATTATATATAATTTATATATATGTATATATAATATAATATACATATGTATATTATATATTATATTAAATATTTGAAATATTTTACGCATTTTTGAGTATTAAGTATCGCAGTCAAATAATCTTGGGGAAATTATTTATTTATTAGTTCAATTTATTTATGCATTTAATCCGTTTCCTATTGTTGTTCACTTATAATGTTATTTTTAATTAGTGAATTTTTTTGCTATTTCATATTATTAAATCATTACAGAATCCAGCACTAATAGAAATGTTTCTGTATCAGGGAACAGAAACTCCATTACCACTTTTAAAAACAGGATTATGCAGGGAACAGTACATGTTGTTGCAAGTGGAGTTGTTGAAAGCTAAAGAGCATGGTGTTGAATTTTTTTTTTGTTTTAATATAAATATGCTTTTATTTTTCGTTCTTTCCATTACACATGTCGTTTTTCACACAACTATTTTTAATTTTTGGTATTTATTTTAAGGTACGATAAAGTTTTGTGTACCTTTCCGCAATTACGATTATTGTGCATGGTATCCGTGGTGGACAAAAGAAGAGCATAAAGACGTTAGTCGAGGAAATCTTGAAGGTCAAGGTGTTTATGATATCTATCCTGACCCTTTAATTGAATTCCCTGCTCATAAACGTGAATATAATACTAATTGGGATAAATGGTGGCTAAGATATGACAAATTCGTCCAAAAAGGCAAATGAATTGTTATCAATTATAAATTTGAAATATGCTTTATCAAATTTTGAAAATATTTGAAGTAAAAATGGAAGTAAAAATAAATATTTGATAAATATTTATAGATAAATATTTATAAATATTTATATAATATTTATATAATATAATATTTATAAATAAATATTTGAAGTAAAACTTTATTCTGCAAGTTTCTATCATAAAATGGGAAAGAATGGGAAAAAGTATCGAAAAAAGAATGTGCAAGTGCGGCCGTGAATAAAAATATTTATTGAAATTATAGTTGAGATAGTAAATGAAATTAATTATTTAACAGAAATGAAGCGAATGTAATTAAGGAGAGTAGTTATGATAAAGAATTTAAAAAAAGGTGGTGAAACAAGTCAAGGGCGATGGTTCGTCGATCCTCCAAAACGGTAAAATCCAACACTGTTTGTTCGGAGTGCTCCATTGCTCATTTGGGTGGTTCTTACAAAAATTGGCAGATCAAAAATTTTATCAAATTTGTTTATTTTAATTCAAAAGGAAATATTTTCTTGATTGTTGTTTTTGATATATTAGTAAAATGCTTTACAAATTAACTAGCAGATGCGTGAATAAAAAAAGGGAAAAGGGAAAAATAATTTTGTATGATATGCATATCGTTTATGTAAAAGGCTTTGTTAAAAAATTTATTTTTTCTTTTTTGAATTTCAAAAAGGCTTTATGAATTCTTATCGTATTATTATTATTTTATTTCTTACTTTCGGTTGTTTCCGACAGTGAGTGCTCGTGCTCGTGAACAAATGCGGGCGCGCTGCGAAATCTTGGCATGTCGAGATCATATAAAGCTCAGATATCCCCAAAACTTTTATATTTTATGAAAAACTGCATACTTTTTTCTCCTTTAATACTTTCGGAACTTAGGTATTTTTCTTCAGCAGAAAAGCCATTAGTGTCCCCTCACTTAAATATTTTAATGTCACATCTTTCACATCTTTCGAAATCTTTCCTTTTCCTTGGATCTCTTTACATTATTTCCGTACCCAGTAAATTGTTGCTGCTCTTTTTCACAATCCATTAGCATTTAACTAGAAAATAATCACAGCGTCAACACTATTTGCTTATAATTAGTGAAAAAAATGTTCCAAGCTACATTAGCGCTGCAAACCTCGCTATATTCACCATAAACTACGCTGAGCGCGTTTGTCGCCACTTCAATAAGGAAATTCAAAATCGTAATGGGTAAAATAATGTCGGGTATTGAGGAAGTATATATAAATTGGGGATATTAGCTGGAAATAATGAGAGTTTGGTGAAAGGACTCGACTCTTGTCTGTATTTGGAGGCACACCCTGGGTTTTAATGTGGTATAATGGAGCAGCTAATAAATTTTATTAAGAATGATGAATTACTGGGAAATGTAACAGAATGATAATATTGTTATTGTTATTTGCAGAATATAATAATATAGTGAAACATTTGCGTTGTCACTTTTGTGAGTTTGATTTATTTAGTGATCTTAAAATTTTACACTTTTTTATCTCTCGTGGAAAATATTTTTATTATATGATTTTCCCCACATTAGCCATTTAAACTAATAAAATATATTTGCTATTAGAAAGTATATGTGCGCATTTCAATTGCAACTTTTACACTTTCTTCACATGCTTATAGAATAAATGTTCAGTTGTGGCACACCGATCGTTTAACCTAACTCTTCCTTTAATTTTATTGTTAAGGCTGTGATCCATGAATAGCATCGCATCAAATCTGTTGCTGGCTTAGACTGTTTAACCCTTCTCACATATTTTGCAGATCTAACTGTGTGTTTTTGCAGTCCTTTTTGTTGCTAATATGTAATATGTGTGAATATCACTGATAATTGATTATCTTATGCGTTTTGCATCATTAACATTATCAAATCTCTTCATGAAATGAATTAAAAATTCACATTTCCATTCTGACTGTCATATTCTTAATTTTGTTTTGTATGTGACTGTTTCGTTATTAAATTCGTAATTCTATAATTATACTTTTCTGCATTCGGTGAACTAATAAAAAATTTTTTTAAATTAATTTTCCAGTTAAAATTTTTTCTTTTAATCTTTAAAAATTAATAAAAGTATTGTTTATTTAATTTTTCAATTTAATTTCTTCTAATAATCGAATTAAAGCGATTTTTAGTTTGTCGACTATTTGATTCGTCATTTGTCATTTGATTCTCTCATTTTTCATCACTTTTGTTGGCGAAATAATTCTTTTAAACGATCCACAGAATCTTTGAAGTATTTATTTATATTTATTGTGTTATCGAATGTCAGTCTCATCGAATATTTTCATATTTCTTATACAATGGAGTTGTAATTTACTATTTTTGTTTTAAAACTTGTACATAATTAGTAGTAATAATTAGTAGTAATACTAATGGGTATTACTACTAGTAATACTAGGCCCTCCCAAGACTAAATGGGAGATTCCTCAGAAAATCGTAGAAAATAAGATCCTCCGGGATTTTTCGAATCAAACAGACAAGTAAATACTGGTCAATCAACTAGATATTTTGGTAATAGACAAGAATCAGAAATCAGCATTGCTGATTGATATTGCAATACCAAGCGACAGGAACATCAGGAAGAACATGAGAATCACGGAATATGACAAGTTAGAGAAATATTAAAGGCTAAAAAAGGAACCAAAGACCAAAATAATTCAAGTGGAGCATTTGAACTGTGACTCCTAAACTAAAGAAATGGCTTCAGCAAATTCCAGGAACAACATCGAACTCTCTATCAGAATTCCAGGAAGAGCGCAGTATTGCGAACAGCTAAGATATCGCGTAGAACCTTTAATCTCCAAGGCTTCTGGTAGAGGACCCGAGGTTGAGGATGATCATAACCACCCACAATGGGTGAAAGAGATTTTTTTAGTTTTACCTATGAAAATCTTTAAGTGAAATCTGTGCCTTATTTGTTGTGTCAATTTTTACTATTCAAATGAATAGAATTATAAGCAAGGGTTCTTCGTCAATGATTTGATATTTTTGGTCTTTTTTCCTCATGAAAATAAATATTGACTACAATTTTTTAAAGAGCACTCACCAATGATGATTGAATTCGTTCCGCAAGTTGGAATAGAATAAATAAAACTATCAGGGACTTGTTGGTAAAAGCATAGGTGAGTCATTACCCAGATTTTTGAAGGATAAGTTTACTCATTTTACTTATTAGCAAGGTAGAATCTCAGTATCCGAATTGACCAAAAACCCATTCTATTCTCCTTTCTATTCCTTGTTAGCTGACTCTGCCTAGTACATCGGTCGGGTTTAAACCCAAACTTCGATTCTCAATGGCAGTTATCTTGATACAGCCCTATCAACTTACCATATCGATTATAATTTGTTGAAATTAGGTGGAATAAGCGAAGGAGAATAAAAATATCCATTCTTCTTCTTCTAAGAATATTTCAAGTTTCTGGCTTAGATGGCTCGAATGATGTCAGAGTGAGGACTTAGCCAGAAGGTTTGGGAATTGAAAGGCCTCAGCACTTGGATTTTTCATGATAAATTTACACCTGTCAATGAGTCGAACCCATGATGCATGACGCATGACAGATCGTATTTTAAATTTATTTCGGAATTGAATGGAATTTCCATATGTATTCCAAATGTATCATCCAACAAATAATATTAGTTTCAGTGAGGTATTTCTCATGAAATGTGTCATGAATATGTATTAAAACCAATCAAAATTTTCGAAAACAGCCTTGATTTATATGTAATTTAATTATGAAATAATTTTTTGTCGAAAATATCGAGTGATTATAAAGTTTATTTTTATCTTCAAATGGTATTTCTGGTAAAGTATTATACAGATGCGATAAACAAATAAATGTGCAAATATGCAGGTTTTGTTTTGCTTATAAAATATAAAAATAAAATATAAAACTATCCTGAGAATAAATCAAAATGTATTGCGAAAACTGTAGAAACTTTGTCGATGTATATTTCAGCGATTCATTACTGCTTTATAATTACGAAATGATAGACAATTTGAACGTGGGAATGTATTTCCTACAATGTCATCCGTTGTCGCACACCGACATCTTGGATTTAAAAATCTTAGCATCGCGAGAAATCTGGATCGGAAATGACGGCAACAAACAATATATACAATGGGATTAGCTGATGAGCTGGAAAAAATATTACGTTTTCGCATATTTTTAATATATATGAAATAAAAAACGATTAAATTATCGGAGCGTACAGAGCAAATCTTCTGAAGTATCTCTTAATTTCCGCCCAACTTCTTTTCGCTAAGATTTATCGCAAACAGCGAAAAATAGCAAAAAAATAAAATCTAAAAACTATGGTATGATTATCACAGTTCCGAACAGATTGGATTGTATGGTATCATTCAAAAAATTGTCAGTTATAATTTCAATGGTTTCTATTGAAGTGCTACGTCGAAGGGCTATTTTTTTGACACTTCCTGGATTAAAAAAATTTCTACATTTTTTTCTGCTCACAAACTCCCACAAATTTCGCTTTCTCGACATTTATTAAAAAAATATTTTAGAGAAATAATCATTTGTGGATAAAGGTACGAGTCCACCCCCACCATAACCCGCATTTGGCTTTTGGTGACAGGTTTACTCCTATCAAAATATTATCGAGAGCAAACACCAAACAATTTATTAGCTTTTTTCGTCTGAAGTTCATTCTACTGAATTTTTTTTTTATTTTCTTACGTAAAATTACAAATTTTGTGCAAGGAAATAGACTGCAATAATCCAGCTTATTTTCGTCTCAACTAATCTTATCGCATTTTTTTATTAATTGATTTTTCACATGTTCATTCTCCTTCTTCTTGTAATAGCTCTCGTCACTGCTGGTTGGGCTGGCTCCACTGGCTATAAGAGTAAGACGTCTCCAAGCTGTTCGCTCCGACACCATTGCTAATAGTTACTAATAGAAGCCATTCCTTGTTCACTTCATCGTCTAAATCCATATATCGCTGGTCCCCCCATA